TACACACTATACACTATGGATCTGTTTTGTTTCATTACCGAGATGAACATTATTTATGATGGTTTCAATAGCAGAAAGATAACTGGTTCTTAATAATAAAAACACAGCTTATACGTGACATTCAGTCTATTTTTTAGACTTGATTTGGTAAGTTTGACAATATGCGCGATGTCTTGATAAATAGTTTTTCAACTGAAAAATATGCCGATATGATATTCATATACAATTTTTGTAATGGCAATACTAAAGCCACGATAGCAGATTGTGAGTGTCAGCAACGACGCCCTGATCCTACAGTTTTTTACCACTCTATTTTCTAAAATGTCTTTAGAATTTCGAGACAAACAATTTTGAAGATTATCTGTAAATCAAAAGTAGAATAAAATAAATACGTCGGAATACATATATATATGTATTTAGATAGTAATCCTTAATTTATTTTTACTAACATTTTATATGAAGTAATAGTTCTTTAAACAATTCATTAAATTTATGAATGAACTTTTTATTATACCTTTCTAAAGCAATAACAAAAGTGACTTGAGAAAATAAAAAATTAATAAAACATGTTTATTAGAACATTAATCACAACATAAATACATACATATGTAAATATAATGTATTATAGTGACCTTTAACCTTTCTAAAAATGGTATTATAAGTTGAAATAGAATAAACAGTTTTATGCAATTAATATATCATATTTTTAATGATTGTTTAAATTTGTACATATATAATGTTATAAAATGAGAAGAATAGTCATTTAGTATTGATACAGCTTCTTATAAATATTTCGAACATTACAAATACTAATAAGAAAATTGAATGTTCAAAAATTCTAATAATTTTAAAATTTTTTCATTTGTAATCAATATTTAACAGATAGTTTATTTTAGAAATATTTAATTTTTAAAAATACAACAACTGTTTGAAAATCAACATTTGTCTATTTCATTATTTTTTTTTAAGGTGTAACAAATGTACATATATTAAATAAAAATTTTTAATTTTCTTATTTAAACAGACACTGATGGTATTTGCTAATGTACAAATATTGCCTTCCATAAGTCTTCCACTTATTAAAATCATTTTATATTAGCTGATTTTCTATGTACTCTATTATAATGATACTAGTTGTATCATGTTTATATGTATATAATACAATACTTTTCTCAATAATCAATAATTGATTTTGTACAGCATAACGACATTTTGTATTAATAAAAGGAATTTAAAATAAATATTTCAAAAGATTTATTTATATATAATTTAAGCTTATTAATGACACCAACATTAATATCCATATTTAAAAAAGAATGTATTACCAGTAAACCAATATATTTTTACAGGAAAATTATACTCTATTGATGAAGATGTAATTCTTGTTATTTCTTCAAAATTGCATGGCATCTTTGGTCCATAATTGCATACTTAATGTGTGATCATATTGTATACAAATTTAGTAACACTTGTTGAATTGTTGCATATGAATTAATGTTTGTTCTATTATTCCCACTAATTTACATTTAGCAAAACCTTCAAATTCTTTAAAAATATGATAATTACTATGTTGATTAGTTACAGTTAAGATAACTTTTAAAGGATGTCTCTTTTCAAATGTACATAAAAAATCTAAATTTATTCTATTTGTAATATCCTTTTTATCGCGACTTTCTATTGTTAGTTTGGTTATAAAAATTTCTTTTCGTAAGCAACTTAAGCTAGGGTCCAAAACAATACTATTAACTTTTCTATTGCGCCATACACAATGTGATCCAGTACAATGAAATATAATTTTTTGGTGCTTTTCCATTTGCACATCTGATAATATTTCAATTTTTTGTTGTCCTGCTCCTATATTAGCTGTAAAAACTTCAGTTTGTACCTTGAAAATGTTTTCAAAAATAGATTTCAGTATTGTAAAAACTGTAAAATACCAGTCACTGCTTGTAAGTTTTGTCTTATCTACAGTGTCTATACTTGTTTCCATGTTATTTGAGTCATTATGATACTGACATCGTTTTGCAGAAATTGTAACTATAAATTTACCTTTGCAAGGTTTTTTTTTTATACTTGATGTGAGCAAAGTTTTCATAAGATTTCTATAATCATCTTTACTACTCATTGTGCAAATTCCAGCATCAAGTGCACAATATGATACAAAAGAATTCAATGTAGAGTATTGCGTACATGCAGTAACATTATGATTTAATTCTATAGGATCCTGCACACACATTAATTTATTAACATTTAATTTAAGGCTTCCATCTTCTTTCACGTATGTTTTATATGTATCCATACATGATGGTAAATTGTATACTTCTTTAAATTCTAATTCTGTATGTGTCATTCCATCTATGGGACATATTACTTGTGATTTAAATTGAAAAGATGCATAGAAAAGAAAGAAACCATGAAGAAGTTGTGCAATACTATTCTGATTTGTAATTGGAGGTAATACAGTATTTTCGTCAAAGTTAACTTGCCACCCGTTTATAATTAGTGGTGGACATGAATTTCGAAGTATCATCATGGGAGGAATAATATTGACAGTTGGCTGTTGTAGATAAAAAATAGTTAACAATACTAAAGCATAATTGCATATCTTTCCTGTACCTGATATCTTAAAATGTCTTGTCCAATATTTAATAATCATTATTAATGGTTTTATCCTGCTATCAAGAGAGATGCAATATTTGATGAAAGAACTTTTATATATACCTAAACTATTTTTAAACGATATATCACAAGAAACGTGTGTTGGAACATAATAAAACTTTATAATAGGAGTTTTAGCTCTTGGAATTGATATTATGTTAGAAAAAACATAGTTCATTTTGTACATAACTCTTTTCACTTTTCTAAAAATCTTCGTTGTAGTCTTGAAATCTGCAGATGCACTTTCAGCTTCATATATTGGATCACCTTGAATAAAGGAAAATGTAGTATACATACTATTATATCTTACATCCATATATATGTCTAAATCGCATTCTTTAAAACCTAATCCTGTTTGAATTGAACCAAATTTGTATGTTTTGCAGTTTGGAAATATCACTTTAAATATTTTATTTAAGTCGGTACAAACAGATTCATATTTTGATTCTATTTCAGTATCAGTAAGTTGTACTGCATTTAAAAACATCTGAAGCTGATTATCAAATGTAGTATTTTCATTAAATATTTTTTCTATGTTATTGTAACTTATTGAATCTGCATTTCCTACATGTTCATATTGGTCCACTGATTTTGAATTACTTACATCTTGAAATAAAGTATATGTGATTTGAAAATGATACATATACATTTTAAGAAAATAAAGGAAAAAAATTGTCTTTGAAATACTTACCATTATATGATGTTCCTTTTTTAATGTTCAATTTTACATTATTTATCAAAATTGGTTTGTTTGATAAAACGTCCACAGAATGTCTACAATGTCAGAAAGATATAATTGTAAATAAAGACCTTAAATATAAAATTATATTTACAACATAAGAAACTATATTTACAAACACAATTATTATTTCTTATTGGTTAGCATTAAATATATTTTACCTATCATGAAACTCAATTTTAAGATATTGTGGACCAAATTGATGCTGTTTAATTGTTCCATATTGTTGAAAAAAGTTAATAAGTTTACAGGCAGATATAAATTTTGGTAACGGTGAGACAACAATTGATGTTTCCATTACTTGGAGCTGTTTGAGTTTCTTTAAGTGTTTTTTACCTGCAAGATGTGCTTGCAAGGTACATTCATCTTGAAAATACAATGAACATACATCACACTGTTTTGACATTGCTGGTTATATGTTCACAACCATAAAATGTTCTTTTATTCTGTTTATAAAACTTTAGTATTCTTGTTTTTTATTAATATTACATATTAATAAATTTGGTTGAAAAGTCAACTATGTCATAAATTGTTTGCTCTGACTATTCTTTAAGGAAAATAATATGGTATGTACTACATATAAATTTTAAAATTGTTGAGAAACTTTTAATTGTACATATTTATCTTATTAGTTGCAAATTTTTATTTTTGTAACATCATTATTGTTTTTAATAGTATTTCAATATTTATCATTTTGTTTAAACTGTTTTTTAATATTTAAAAAAGTACATTTGATGTATTGTACTATTTTAATTAATGCTTGAACTTTTCTTTAGAAAAGAAAAATGTAATAAATGTATTTTTCTTTTAAATTTAATATCATATTTCTGAACCTGTAAATAATATAGATATTGAAATAATTGAGGTTGTATAAATGATCAAGTTTTAATTTTAAGTATTTACCATAAAAGCAATTGTAAAAACAAACACCAGAATTAAATACACCAACTGTGACAATGACATAAATCAGCATTTAGAATTCTACATCTAATAAGTATATATACAACATCACACTTTAATCTAAAGTTTATTTTTGTTGCTTGCAATTTTTGCGTTTTAGTGAAAATTGTCATATAGTTCTACATTTTTATTACTGATACTAGCGGAAGTGACGTTTATAAAGTAACAAAATAATTTTAATTTTTGAATATTTCACGAAAATATACTTATTGTACTATTATAAAAAGTGTTTAAATTTTTGTCAAACTGAAATACGTCAAAAGAAAATGAAACTCAAATTATCACTGTTACGTCCCGTGATATTCCCGCGAAGAAAAAAAAGCTGTAGTATGGCGTGACCCAACCATCATAATAAAACGAAATTTTGAGGAACTGTGATGAGGGGAGGGAGGAAGACCCCGAATATAAAATTTTAGCTATAAATATTTATTAATTTCTGAAATATTAATAAAAAATGTTCGGTATAATACATTGAAATCTGCCTACAACAACTCATTCAATTGCTAGCCAGCTTAATCCGTATTGAGTTAGGTTTGAGTTACCTCTTTTAATTCGGCCGCCGGCCACCAATTACCTGTGAAATGTCGGTGAAATTTCGTCGATGTTGGATTTTACGTGGGTCATCCTATAGATACTGAGGCCGATTTCACTATTACGTCGTCGGTTAGTTTGTGGCGTCATAAGCCACGTGCTTATGGCGGGTAAGGCGGAATAAGCATCTAGTATTTTTGACTAGAAAATATTATATTTTATAAAAAGTTCTTAGAAATTATACAGCAGGAAAAATATAACGTAAAACGGTCGTCGTGGCGTATAAGAACTATAAAAGTGTGATTACAAAAATACACTATTTTGCGACTGCTATAGCGCGCTGCAATACCGAACACATTGACGTCTTACCAAGAAAGCACTGCTAGGAAGAAGGAAGGACGCCGTTGCAAGCGCGCATATACCTCACGCCACGTAGATGTACACGACGTTTTTACCCTGCTAAATTCCCTACAAGTTGATGACGACGGCAACTACATCGAAATTGGTTGTTTAGTAGTGTTAGTATAGGCAGAATTCAATTTATTGCACCGAAAGTTTTTTATTAATATCTCAGAAATTAATAAATACCCAAAGCTAAAATTTGATATTCGGACGCCAATTCCTAAAAATTTCGTTTCATTATGATGATTGGGTCATACCGTACTACATTCGAAATAAATATAACTAGGCGAATATCGAACGACCCATGTCATGGGACGTAAATGAACAAAGATCAGAAACTATTTCGCCCGCACAGTCTATATGCTGCATCTGATAACATCTCACCATGAGGTTGCAAGTCGGTACGATACCAATCGCCGATAACGTACCAGTTGTAACATAAAAAGGAAAGCCGCAGCGTCGTCGATGAGGAAGGTAGCGTCGATGTGGTAAATTTACAATTTTTTTCTATCATCAACAACAATCGAGTTATAATTCAACCCAGTTACTAGATACACCCTGTATAGAACGACTTAACCTAAAACTTAAATTAGAAAGCAGAGCTCGTGACTTAACTTAGATTTAGAACAAATACAAACGTACGTCGAAGCGTGTGAATGATCTGAGAGTCAGAACTCAGAACCCAAGTGACCGTGTGCTGTCCCAGAAAACGTACGTAGATGTTGACATAACGAAAAAACAATTGCAGAAAAATTGTTGAAAAATTGAAAATTGTTAACATTTATTTTTGTAGGTGCAGAAAATAAACATTATTTTACATTTTGTCATTTTCAATGTATATTTAATACTGCTATATAACTTTATAAAAACAGAAATGAAAAATATATTTGAATAATAACACATTTTTAAAATACATT